ACGCTTCCGAAATGTTGAAGAAGTGCGAGAATGGGTGGACGAATGGATTGCTTCGAAACAAACATCGTTTTATCGAGATGGTATCGCCCAGTTGCCAGAAAGATGGCAAAAAGTTGTAGAAAGTGATGGAAAATACTTTCATTGAAATAATTTAAATAAATTTTTTACAATAAATGCTTTTTCTCAGTATTTTTTGGGCGGAAACTAAGTTAAGGTCCTAATATTTGCTATTACGTGTTGTGTGGCAAGTCCATATATGTCTCAGGCGGGAGCATTTCCAAAAAGAGAGATAACGCCGAATGTAATTGAATTGTTTATTGTGACAATAATTGAATTGTTTATTGTGACAATATGAAATCGTGGACTATGTGAAGAATCCTCAAATCGCGCGATATTCGAACCGCGTCCGCGTAATGTCCATATCGAGCGACGATTGCGCTTCGTCCCCGTCGGAGGGGGAGTTTAGGGCAGATAAGATGGCCAAAGAACTTGTAACGACTTAGCCAAACGACCTCGAACTTCCACAGTTCGCTCACGAATCGATCTTGTCCTCTCTTCAGTACGTCCTGCTGATGTCGGAAGCCACCCTCGTGCTCGCAGGTGAAAACATCTTGACAAGCGCCTTCTCGCGCCAAGCCAACAAGAATATCCATTGGATTCTGCAGGTCCTCGGGCTGATTTGCAACGTGATCGGCGTGGGTATTATGTACAACGCCAAGAGCGCGCACTTCCTCTCGACCCACGGCATCCTCGGCTTCAGTTCGTTCGTGATCATGTGCGTGTTGGCGATCTTCGGATATCCGGTGATGATCGCGGTGAAACTTCGCAAATTCGTGCGCCCGGTGGTTATCAAGCTCGTGCACAATTTTCTGGGCATCGTCTGCTTCGTTCTCGGTATGCTCGCGCAGTGCTACGGCTACAGTTACAAATGGGTGTACAGCGTGACGCACGTGGAGAACATCGACATGGCCCTGCTCGTTCTTACCGCGGTGATCACACTATTGTCCCTGAGGGGCGCGCTTTTTTCTCTCACCAGCCAGACCTTCGTTCTCGTAAGATCAATTTGCCCTGCCATTTCATACACGGACGGCGGGTCGCCGAGTTCCTCGTTCAGCAAATTGTAAATCGCACGTTATTTTATTCTTTCCTATCATCGCAAGGATAATGTAAATAATTAGTACGTAATAACTTTAACGGAGGTTTCCGTCTTATCAGACATTCCGATAGGATACATGTATGTGTGTGCGTGCGTGCGTATGTAATGCTCGATGTGTTAGTTAGAATGTTAAGTATGTGAAGCAGCGCATTATACGAATTAATATTTATTAGTAGAAGAATCAAGTTAAATCTAGAAATATGGCAACAGAAGATTTTATACATGAGAAAAACATGAAACATATTACCGGGGAAGATCTGAGCTTCTGATGAAAAAAAATTCCAGGTACAAGATAATAAAATTGAATGCATTTCTCTTTACGGACGAATATGTGCTTGCATTTAAATTAATGGGAGTTACATACGTGCTCGAAAAGGACATTCGACACGTATAAAAAGAAAAAAAGATAGAAAAAGAAATTATGCATGAAAACGACATTAAGCTTGCTAATATTTCCACTGTATAACGATTGCAACAGAAGTTTACGGCGACGTTGATGCGAAAAATGAGAGAAGGAAAAAGATAGTGTATACGGATGCGAAGCGATTACCTGATATCGGAGTATTTCGGCGCCGTGAGAGTGTTGATCACGAACAAAATACCTCGATCAAATGATTTTCTATATGTGACGTGTCATTATTTAGAAATAAAAAGAACTCTTTTTATATAAAAAATCGTTATAACGTCGTTTCATTGATAAAGGTGGAGCAAATCACGCGTAGGATGACAGGGGAGGGAGGAATCTTTTATGCAAGACATGCGATAAATATCTACGATATAATTCATTATGTTGAATGCGATAAATATCTACGATATAATTCATTATGTTGAATGCGATAAATATCTACGATATAATTCATTATGTTGAATGCGATAAATATCTACGATATAATTCATTATGTTGAATGCGATAAATATCTACGATATAATTCATTATGTTGAATGCGATAAATATCTACGATATAATTCATTATGTTGAATGCGATAAATATCTACGATATAATTCATTATGTTGAATGCGATAAATATCTACGATATAATTCATTATGTTGAATGCGATAAATATCTACGATATAATTCATTATGTTGAATGCGATAAATATCTACGATATAATTCATTATGTTGAATGCGATAAATATCTACGATATAATTCATTATGTTGAATGCGATAAATATCTACGATATAATTCATTATGTTGAATGCGATAAATATCTACGATATAATTCATTATGTTGAATGCGATAAATATCTACGATATAATTCATTATGTTGAATGCGATAAATATCTACGATATAATTCATTATGTTGAATGCGATAAATATCTACGATATAATTCATTATGTTGAATGCGATAAATATCTACGATATAATTCATTATGTTGAATGCGATATATATCAATGACATTATGATGAGTGAATTGTAAAATTAATGTTTTTATTAAAATTTCTCCGAAACAGAGAGGTAGATATCAATTGCTGTCTATTGTATGGTTTTTTATGCAAACTTCGAAGTTGATTCGTTAGACATTAATTTAGTGAAAATGTTAGGTTTGCATTCAAAATGATTTAACTGGAAACGATTTAAATTAGCATTGTTATTAGTACTTAAATTGCACGTAGTCGACCAATGTCGAATTATTCTCGTCTGCCGTTCAACTAAATTTGCTTTCATTACATCCGACTGACACAATAATTAATATTTCGTTTGCTGCGGGCGTGCGCATTATTCTGAAAAAATAGCCAGAGCCAAAGCCGAAAGAACTCTTCTCTCTGCACTGCGTGTTCTCGCACGTGAAATATCTCGCGAAGAGAAGTCCGCCCTTTGGCAGCAGAGATAATGTTATTACGAAATCGAATTGCGAAGTGTTCCGCGCACAAGCATTCGGTTGCAGCAGCGCGCCACTTTAGCTCCTGACGGCGTATAAACGAGAAGTCAAAGTTTAATTAGACGCAAAAGCGCGGCACAGTCTGAAATTTCGAAAGTCGTAATTTCTCCCCGCCACCAAACTGCAGTCTGCTTCCCATTTCCTACACGGTGCATTCGGTTGCATTTGATGCCGCGTATCTCGATGCTTTGGTTAATCGGATCGATCGCTCCGAGCCAGGAACAGCTTCCAAAGTGTTCACCGTGGGGGACAACACACGATCGTGAAAAGCGTGAAACCTCACGGAAATCTAGAGAAGAGGAATGTTTTCGTTTGGATCTCTCCATTAGTTTACCTGTTACTTTTGTGAGGACAGCAACTTTTAGATATTTTTCACACGATGCCACGGGCAGAGAGGCAGGCACACTGAGAGAGAAGAATAGTTGATCTAACTAAAATAATAGTTATTTCTAGTCTCAACCACATATATTTTGTAGTAAAATGATAGATGGTAGCATGCGCATAAAGTTATCATTATCAAGATTATAGTAGAATTTAATAAAAAATGATTCTTTCTTGACCATAATCGTAATAATTATTATTATTATTATTTTTCTTATTTTCCTGTATGTTTATAATCACAAATACGTTCTTTCTTTCTCGGTGTAAATGAGAGTGTAATTGAAATCTGATAAAATCTGAATTGCGCCAATTGTAATAATGCAGCTTAAATCCCCAGCTTCAGATCGATCGCATTGCGCAACGCCCGATGAATGCTGATTCGTTACACCGATGTGGTTACGATCGTCTATTTTACTCGATATTTCTACACCTTCGTTGCATTAAAATCAATCATCCGTATAATCGACACGTTGGACGTGTGTGTATGTGTGGCGCGCTCGTTGGTTTGAGGTATCGTCGTGGTAACGGCATCGCAGAACTACGGACGCTGTTCCGGCGAGGCGGAGCGCAATACAACGCAGCGCGGGTGATTCCGCGATCCATAAGGTAATTAACGCAGGCGTGTAACGCAAAACGTGCGCGATAATGCCGGGAGTGCGCGGGACTCGAGTGATATTTATACGCGCATGATAACGAGCGCAAGAAGAACGCCGATATTTATTTGCGCGCGATAATAACTGCCATCGCCGCTGCGCGTATCGCGAATACGATGTGACCCGCCCCCCGCTGCGCGGGGCCGGATACTTGACCGTTCACACCAGCCGCGCTTATCCGCGATACGCTTATCCCGATTATTGCGATTATTTGCTTGCGTCGTCCGTAGAAAACGCGAAAGTGTGTCAACGATCGCGTTAATTGGTAACACGCTCGCCTATCTCTCCACTTCTCCTCCCTTCCCTCTCGTTCTGACACTATCTCATCCTCTCGGCAATCTTCGACCCGTCTCGGCGAGCTCCGTCCCATTTTTATCGCGACGGGACGAATGCCAGGTCGCAGATCGAGACCTCATGAATCATTCATTACGGATTAATTCGACGCGCTATGTCTGTCCACTCTCCCCCAACGTGAGTGCCGCCCGTCGCTCTGTCCGTCTGTCCGGTTTTCTTATTGAAAGAATGACTGTTCTTCTCCGGGATTTTGTGTTATTAAATCCCCCCACCAGACGGCCGTAATAAGTGACGTTTTAAAATTCCCGGCACTCGAAAGTTACGCGTGCAGAGCGGCGGTAGCGCCGGCGACGACGACGGCGACGGCGGCGGCGGCAACGGCGGGGAAATTAAAATTCTCGCCGTTTTACAGCGAGAATTTCAAGGCGTCATTCCTCACTTTATGCAAATTGCTTGCGGTGATATTTTATCCCGCGACAATTCCGCGCGAGTGTCCTCCCTGAGTGGAGAAAACAGGTCCAAGTCCAACATACGCGTCAGTTTTCGAGAGAAAGCATTAAAGTATTACTTCATCCTAATATACAGAGAAATAGTTTTTTTCTTTTATAATGAATTTAATATAATGAATCTCATTGCAATCTCTAAACAAATTTGATCATTAGAATGCTTTACAGAAACGTTTCAATCAATGAGTACGATTGTTTGGCTTTTCAAATAATTTTATTTTTTGATTCAAATAATTTATTGTTTGGTTCAAAGAAGAAATTTTTTCGCCTATTTTTTTCATTTTACTAAAAATAAATATTTTTCTCAATCTTTTTGATTCAAAAATCTTTTCGTTTTAATAAAAATAATGTTGCTTAGAATAATCTTAAGGAACTTGACATCGCTTTTTTCACATTACTGACAGCTTTTATTACTTCATCTTGTGCATTCTCTTCTCTCCGTAATTTACTATCCAAATACTTACAATTATACCGTGTCACTCATTTCTCTTCCTGATTACGGTTTTGACTCCAATGATCAAATAGAAATTAATGATTTCAACTAACTCTGACGATACAAATATTATATTAGTAGAAACAATAAATTATAAATTAAAAAACTAACAAAATTCGTAAAAGCGCAGTTTCATTAACTCAACCATTTTTTTCAGTATAGGACAAAGTCCTATAATTTATGTAACATTTTTTAATAAATTCTCTACGATATGTAATGTTTCATGGATTTTTTTATTGTTTTATGTATCTCATCAGAAAGTCATGAAGCGTGGGCGTGAAATATGATTTTTATATACGATCAAGCGAGCAGTAGAGTAAATTGTGCATGCAATAAATGTGCTGTTATGTCATCAGGAAAATCACATTATATATTATTTGTGTTAAAACTTAAAATGTTTCAGTCGCAATAACCGACAAGCTTCCATAATATAGTTTATCGTTAATTAACACTGCGCAAGTATGCGTCGCTTTATCGAATTAATCATCGTACTGAATTTCGTGCTCTCTAAAATCTTTCCCACCATTTTTCCATATATCATCTATATTTATTCGCCACAGTGTACTTTTATATGACAGTCTATGCCGCGTAGCAAATTTACAGAGAACACATAATCACGTAGTGGTCGTTTTTCATATAATTTTGCGTTTGTCCAAAACATGTTATTTATGCAGTATTTTTACAAATTACGTCATTATACGAAGAATTATGGACATATTTTTTTCACGTTTTGCGTTAAATTATATTATTTTTTTATTATTATGATTATGTCCCCAACATATACACGATATTTTTTTTCTTCGTAGCGAAAGAGAATACATATTATGTAAATAATACATGTTTACTAAATGTCCAAATTATTACAGTTGTTATTGCTGATACTGGTCACAATATATTGTACGTTTTGACGTGATGCACAAACAAATCGTTAAACGTGCGGTTCAACGGACTTGTTTTAATCCGTAAATTATATTAAGTTGCTAATGTCTTTTCGATTGTTATCTCTATCAAATATATGAAAATGAATTCTTCGTTTATATTATCATAATTCGACCGATTCCTCGGTGTTTGTGCTTTCGATTAATAATATAGTATTATCTTGATATACGTACACATTTATAGCTTAATAATCGAGCCAATTATAATAATTGAGTCTGAGTTAATCTTATACTGCGATAAAATAACACATCGATTTATTTTTGAACAAAGGAGAAACCTCGGAGCCGTATTGATCGCTCCTCCTCCAACCTCGGAAATCCCATTTTGCAACGAAGCTATAATAAGGTCGCGCTTTAAATCGCTTTATGCGCGCCTCGCATTTTCGGGTAAATCATACAGCGGCGAAACAACAAAAGTCACCTGCCGAAGAATGCCTTCCGCCCGCGTTTCATCGCACAGCCCGACACGCTCTGTCCACTATGGTTTCGCATAATTTACGAAAACGCAGCGACGCGCGTCGCGCACACTGGCACGTCGAGTAGGGTCGCATCGCGTTGCGTCGCGTCGCATAGCGTAGCGTAGCGCGACGGAACGCAACGCAACGCAGCGTCGCGTCACCGTCACCATCGTCGTCGCCGACGCCGTCGCCGTCGCCGTCGCACTCGCCGTAATTGTGCGTTCACGGTAGATATTACCTGGAAATACAATACAGCACACATCGCGATATTCCGGTATTTCGATT